GATGGTGATGGAAGCATGGGAGTGAATGGGATCCTGCCCCCACCCCCACCCCCGTGTTGGTATACTGAATGAAACAAAAGACGGTTTGGAGGATTAGTACCAGGTAAGGCAGACGGAGAAAGGGAAACTGCAGAGAAAGAAAACCTTTCCTCCCGTGAGCCAGAAGAAAAGAGTGCTTGAGCAAAGGCATTGTTAACAGGAATCAGATTCTGCCATGGATTCAAGTTAAGGACAAGGTTGAATATTGTGTGTTGGGAAATATTGTGAATGGGTGTAGCAAAAGCCAATGTAGGAATGAGTGAAAGGGGAGCATGGGGAAAATGTGAATGTGAGCAACTCTTCCAAGGCACTTGAGAGTGAGAGGAAGCAGAGCTGGAGTGGAAACCTCCAAAACGGGAAAAGAGGTGTTTTTTCCAGAGGTGGGAAAGAGAGAGAGAGAGAAAGAAAAGGAGAGGATCTGCTATACTTGATCTCTCATACTTTGCTTTACAACCTAAATGAAAACTATCAGGCAACTAAGTGTTGATGAGGGAGAAACCAAGAGATCTTGAAAATCCAGCAGGTGAACAGTTCGTAGAATGAATTAACCAAGTACCCCAAAGGTACCAAATCCTGACTACAAATGAAATGATTAGTGTTTGACTCTAGGAGAAGGCTATTTTAAGTTCTTTAACAAGAGGAAAGAAGGAAAGATTCATATAGATGGTTGAAAATTTGTAGATTATGTTACAAGAAGTTGAAGATCTTTCCTATCTATAGCTTTCCTGCTTTTCCATAAATGAAGCTGCAAGATCATTTGTTGAGAGTTATGGGAGAAATTATGGGTTTAGTGTCTGAGGAGATTGAATTTTGTTGTATTATTAATAACATTGACATAAATATTGAACACAATATTTCACAAAAGCCAGATCTTTGGGATAAGCAATAACTACCTAATCATTTTCGATTGTTTTGAAGGGTAAAATGTGAGGCAAAATCAAAATAACAGGGTATGTTAGATTATATTTTTGTGCAATTTTTGAAGTGAAATTTTCTTTTCCTACTTGATCTGAATAAGTAAGAAAATATTTTTATTTGTAAGTTACACAATATTTTTGTTTTCCAGAATCATCTTCAAAAAGACTTTCATTCCATGCTAATTTGAATGTAGGAGAATAAATATTTACATATAGCATTGCTAATTTTCCAGAAGCAAATTATGGTAGATATTTCTGAAGTCAGAGATGTGAAAAGTTGCCTGGTTTAACCTTTCACAAATACTGCATTTGAAAAGAGAAATTTTAAAGAGGAATTTTGGAATTACATTATGATGCAATTTCAGAAAAAGAAATAAGAGACTATACTTAAATTTAACTATTAAATAAAAGGACCTGAACTTGGAAAATGCTTTCTAATGCTGATTCATTCACTTTCTCAGGTACCTTCTATTTCTGTCACTTTCAATTTAAGTTAATGTGATATATCACTTGTGTATGACATTCATAATTCTGCTAAAATAATCCTTAACATATACACATCTATAGCTTTCAACCTTTCAGCTACTAATTAGATTTTAATTATAACTCCATTAATCTCAACCTGAAGTTTAATAGGGTAAGTAGCAAAATTAAGGTGATTTTGAGTCCAAAGTATAATTTTAAAATGATCAAAATAACTCAAATTTTCATAGGGAAAAGTATAGTTGTTTTATTAATCTGGCCATCAGAGTGGGTTTTTTTTTTCCCTGTTACAGTGTTTTAAGTGCCTTCACTGTACAATATTTCATTTACTGTTTGTATTTTATTTTTTGCTGTTTCCTGCCTGGAGTGTGTAGGAACAGTGAGAAGGCCAGAGTGACTCATAGAATAAGAGGTAGGAGTAGGAGAAGAGCACTGAGGGGATCCAGGACCAGGCAGATGGTAAGGACTTTGACTTATACTCTGAATGGGTTGGAAAGCCACTGGAAAGATTTGACCACAGAATTACATGATTTGATTTACTTTGAAAATGCTTTATTGACTGCTGTTTGGGGAAAGGGACTACAGAGCTACATGGAGAAGCAGATTGTGGCAGCTATTAAAATAACTGATGTGAGAGAACATGGTGGCCTTTGATCAAGACAGTAGTAGTATAAGTAGAGAAATGGTTGGATTTACTATATATAGTTTGAAGGCAATGCTGAATTATTTTGATTTTGGTTTGGATATGATGTGTCAGAGAAAGAAAGGAGTTAAAAATAAATCCAAAATCCTTGGTCTGATTAAAGGGAAGGATAGAGTTGATACTTAACTGAAATGGCAGAGATTGGCAGAGAAACAAGTTTAGGGGAATTCTTAATTTGTCTTTGCAATGTGTTAAATTTTAGATACCTATAGAAGTGACAAGGAGTTGGACATGTGGGTCCGAAGTTCAAAGGAGACCTACAAGATAGAACTAGACGTTTGGAGATTGTCAGAATTTCGATTAGTGTGCAGTGCTGTGGGTGCACATCAGCTTTCCCAAAGGAGTGAATGCATCAAGTGAACAGTTCCAAGAACAGAGCTTCAAACACTTTAACCTAATGTTTCTAGTGAATTTTTCCAAAGGAAAGGATGACTAGACACATTTAAAAATTTTTCCTTTATTGTTCTTTGAAATTTTGAAATTGTTCTGTCCTTAATTTATGAGTGCAATTCATTTTTTCCCAGTGATTATATTTTTAATAACATTTTCTTTCATATCTTAAATTATACTATTTATCTTTGTCCTTTTTTTCCCCGTATCAGACATTGTGATTTCAAATCTTGGCTATTTTATTCATGTTCTTGGTTTCTTCGTATGTCCAAAGATCCTTGATTTTCCACTACCATTGAAAATGGAATTATTTTAGATAATTGGTGTGGATTTCCCATACTGTATGAAAAGTTATTTTCTTACCTCTTCTCTCCTTTGAGTGGTAACATTGACTGCAGTCCTGTTAACAGTGAGAGAGCTTATTGATTGATCTAATTCCCTGAGAATTAACGGTCAAGATTTTAGAAGTAAAACTAAGGGCATTCAATTACCAGAATGAATTGGGTTTTACTTTGGTGAACTAAAACCAAAACCTGATGCTTTGATTTCTTTGATTTTACTCTTGTAATTAATTATTTTCTTTAGCAAAGTGACTTTTAGTTTAGTTTACTTTAGTTTAGCCAGAGGTGAATGCCACATTGTCTATTTACATGAAGTAGGGTGAGACACACATTGACAGGCTTTGAACTTTGTCGCATTGTATCCGGTTCCACACTTGCTTTCCATGGCATGTTCTCCATGTTACTAACTCTGAGCAAAGAGCCTCTCTGTACTCGGCACATCGGCACCCTAACACCATTGTAGTTCATTTCGAGCATGTAGCTGTAAGTCTTTTGCCTTTCAGTAAACTATACAACGGCTTTTAGCTTTATAATTATAGGTGTAGCTACCAGTTTATAATTAAGAACTCAGGTAATGAATTTGACAAAAACATTCTTAAAATGTGCTCTTCCAGTTACTAGCTTTGCAAATTTGGGGAACTTGCTTAAGCCTAGTAAAAATACGGCTTATTTTTCTTTAAGGTAAAGATGGTACTATATACCTAACGCATAGGATTACTCTACCTTTAACTCAGGAAATACATATCAAGTCCAGTTCCTAGAGACTATTACATACTCAATATTACTATTAACAATGATAATGTTATGAGTAATATCATTTTAATTATAAATAGGTAGTATAATGTTTGCTTTTATTTTCTAATTTATTGTGGGATTCCTTACAAATTATATAAATTCTGAAAATATTTGCCTACATATTTTAGGGAAAAATATAAGTTAACAAAACAAAATATTATATGTGTATGTATTACGCATTTTGTAGGTTTATCAAATTTTGTGTTTCTGCTGAGAACTATAAGAACAGTTAGGAGGAAAAATTACTGTGTGTTTCCAGGATTTTTCTCATGTTCCTATGTTTCTCTTTATAGACTATTTTTTAGAGCAGTTTTTGATTAACAGCAAAATTGAGTGGGAGATACATACACTCCCCCTGTGCTCCCTGTCTGCACTTAAGCACAACCTTCTGTTATCAGTGTCCTTCACCAGAATGATACACTTGTTACAAATGATGAGCCTACATTGACACATCACAGTCCATAGTTTACCTTAGAGTATACTCTTGGTGTTGTGCGTTCTCTGGGTTTAGACAAATGTATAATGACATATATCCACCAGTGTTATACCAAATAGTTTCACTGCCCTGAAAATCTCTGTGTGCCACTTACGCATCCCTTCCTCCCCAAGAACCTGAAAAGCACTGATTTTATATTGTCTCCATGGTCTCGCCTTTTCCAGAGTGTCAAAAATTAGAGTTATACAGTAAGTAGCCTTTTCAGATTGGCTTCTTTCACTTAGTAATACATATTTAAGTTTTCTCTGTGTCTTTTCATGGCTTTTTAGTGCTGAATAATATTCCATTATCTGGATATGCCATAGTTTATTTATCCTGTTTTCCTGCTAATTTATTGGCATCTTTTATAAACATATTTTTACCAGTTCTAGCGTTGTATAGATGATTTTTTTTTCCCATTGCCCAAGTTTGCCTCTATTATAATCTATATACTCTTTGGACTTAATAAAAAATGGACATTAAGTAGGATTATGAAGAGTCCTGTATTATAAATATTCAAGATTATAAGATCAGTATTAATTAGATTTCTTTAGAATTCAGTTGGTCAGTTACCAGGATTCTGTGTGGTAACCAAGTTTTGCCCAATTTTTTCAATTGGTGAGTTTGGATTTATGGAGATTGCTGATTTGTTTTCTAACAACCAAGAATTTTTCAAATATAAGAAATAAATGGTTTAACTACATTAATTACCACAGCAATGATAAAGCCTGCTGGAATCCACATAAAAAGAAATAAAAAACTAAACTAAAAGCAAAATGAAAGACTAATATGAGTTATCCTGGAGCCAGACACTGGAGCATTATGTGATTATAATTTTAACTTTTCCTTTTTTTCAGTTTAACATTATTCCTGGTCAGCATGAAAATGAAATGGAAGAAATATCAGGAGATATAAAGGAAGAATCAAAATCTCAAAAGAGCAAGGATAGACTGATCTCTGAGTTAAGAGCTGAGGTAAGATATTGGATAAAGATTGTAACACCAAAGCATACCTGAAGGTTATTAAGTGATATACTATTTTAAGGGGTATAATAGAGGCATTGTTGGTTACTCTATGAAGAAGGATTCTGCCAAAAATAAAAAATAATAAATATAAGCAGTTTGTATAGGACTTAAAATGCTGTGGGATGATACTGACTCATCACTAGATTGGAATTACCTGACTATTATAAAGACAAAATATTTGATGAAAAAAACAACCTATAGCAATACGATTCTAACTGTGAGTAAATACTTTTTAAAGGGTCAGTTGGGGGTGCCTGGGTGGCTCAGTGGTTAAAGCCTCTGCCTTCGGCTCAGGTCATGATCCCAGGACTGGGATCGAGCCTCACATCGGGCTCTCTGCTCAGCGGGGAGCCTGCCTCCTCCTCCTCTCTCTCTCTCTCTCTCTGCCTGTCTCTCTGCCTACTTGTGATCTGTCAAATAAAAATTAAAAAAAATAAAAATAAAAAAATAAAGGGTCAGTTGGCTGCTGGATCTAATATGTTAGGTTATCATCAGGACCAATGATTGACAAATGTGTTACATGTAGCTTCTGGTGGAATTAACATGGCTTTTGGCAGCCAACAGTGAGAGACAAGGCAGGGTAACTTCACTCTTATTAGTTCATTTCTTAGGTATGACAAGTGAAATGGCGGGAACATTTATTTTTAACACGTCTACCACCATCACCACCTAAAGAATTTTCACAGATTGTAAACTCTGTTTTCTCCATCATGTTATTAAAGGAAGAATTATTGTTCTTATAGATAGATTATTGTTCCTATAGATAGGATATTGAATTATTTGTACTACATAGTAAATAGTGTTAGTACCCTAAAAGTGGAAAATCGTAAATTACTTATTTTGTATCATAATTTTGGAAGAATGTCTTGGATATCAATGTGTAGCAACAATTCAGGAAATATAGGGTGGGAGAAAGGAGATTTGTATTAGATGCTTTCTTCTTTCTAAAGGTCCATAAAGACCGAACTCACACTACAGTATATTTTATATCAGAAGAACATAGCGCAGTGGAAAATGCATAAACCAAAGATTTTGGAGCCAGAAGCAGCTCCATTACTGATTACTTTATTCTGGTCAACTCCTTATATCTAAGTCTCAGTATACAGATTGATTGAAATAATGGAAGTAAGAATAATAAAAGTCATCACACAGGATTTTTGAAATGATCACACACTGCAAGGGAAAACTGGTCGGAGGCAGCCTGCCTTGATTTGGGGAGTTACACAAAGTTGTTAAGGAGAAATAGCTCTTCTTGATTGAATCAGCGTCATTCCTTGCCACCTCCTCCATGAGTCATGTAAAGAAAGAGGTGGTGGGTGAGGGAAGGGATATGAGAGATCCATGATGAGAGAGGCTGATGTGTTGAAAACAATTCTTTCTACCAGTTAGGTCAAAAGGGAAAATGGCGGTTTGTGTGATGGCTATTTTCTTAAAGAAATCAAACCATCAGGAGAGGCGCCATTTTTTCTTGGTCCTGAGATCTGAGAACATCTTAGATTAAGCTTTGCACAACATGTATAAAAGCTTTACTTAGCAGTTAGATACAAAAACAGAGAAAGACGCATCTGGCTATATATTATAACTCTCCTCAAAAGCCGAGGATGTAATATTTTATCATCATTTTCAGATGCACTGGGAGCCATAGCAACATAGGATCTCTTTTTTAGTTTGATTTAGTAAAAAGTTTGGAGACTCATTTATTAATTATATGGCCTTGTGTTAGGTGTTTCATATCGATATAACTCAACTGTGTTTCTGTGTTTAGGATATAGACCTTTTACCACCTAAAGATAATCTCCCACAAGACACTCAAGTACTATGATATATGGTTTTATGATTTAAAAATTCTTAATAGAGCACTGAAAGCTGAAAGCAAATGAAAGACATGAATTGGCTATGTCTAACTATGTACACTTAAGGGGTATATTCTGTTGAATTAAATTGAAGAAGGAAAGCTTTGTTCAAAAGAAAACAAATAAAATATTAAATAAAATATTGAGACAGGTTCTAAATAGAAACAATGAGCTTGTGTGTGTATATGTGTGTGTTATATATGTGAGCATATGGTTCATTTCAGTTTTAAGTTAGTATAGAAGCTATTTTTTTTCCTTCGAAAAGAAGACAGATAACCACCCTTTGCTGGCATTATTTTATTTTTTACACTGGCTATGTTTAGGTCTCTAAAACCATATCATAATGTGTAATATGTTTTCATAAAAGCAATTGTGTGATTGTGCTATATCTTAATTCAAATATAACCTATTTTTAAAAATCAGGTTTTTGGGGTGCCTGGGCAACTCAGTCAGTAAAGCATCTGTCTTCAGCTCAGGTCATGATCCCAAGGTCCTGGGATTGAGCCCCTGCCTTGGGCTCCCTGCTCAGCAAGGAGTCTGCTTCTCCCTCTCCCTCTGCCCCTCCCCCTGGTTCTGTTCTCTCTCTCTCCCTCAAATAAATAAATAAAATCTTAAAATATAAAAAATAAAAATTGTTTTTTTTTTTAAGATATATAATCAGTATTGCAGTTTGTGTGCGCACATTCATCTTTGGGTATTTAAAATGGCTTAGGGTAAATTCCTAGAAATAGTATGGCTTAGTCAAGAGAATGTTTATTTTTTAAATTTTTTATACACATCACCAAATTGTCCTTTAGAAATATTATATCAATTTACATTCTCACTCGCCTGCAATAAACATTCTCTTGCCTGTATAAACATTTTCATTTCATTATTCTATAGCTAACAGTATATATGATTATTTTTAATGCTTTGCTAACCGATAGACAAGAAGGTCATTTTAATTTGTATTTTACTTATCTATACATAAATTTCTAGTTTTTTGTTCATTTTTACTGATATAATGTTTATTAAAATAGCTACCAGTTACTGATAACTACAAATATGTCACATTTATAGTGCTGGGCCATTGAAATATAAGATCTCATTTAATACCTTAACACTTTTATGAGCTATATATTCTTTTTTAATTTTGTTTTTACTTTTATTAAGGTTTTTATTTTAATTCAGCATAGTTAACACACTTCTTTTTGTTACATTTTTGTTTTATGATCTGTATATATTTTTGTCTACTTTTAAAGGAAAGAGCCTTTGAGAATTTACCTTGCTCAAGGTTACAAAATAACCTCAAACATTGTTGGAATAATTTCTCACCTATATTGTCATTTAGTTCTAGTTTTCCAGAGTGCACACTCAGATTCAGGTTAGGCCACTTACCAAGGCCACGAAGCTAATGAGTTTGAATCCAGAAGTCAAATGGGGCCGGCAGTCCATCTCTGACATTGATGACCTGGTCTATCACCTTGTGAGTTTATTGAAGAAATGTAATGAATTTCCAACAATATTTCTTGAATTGGAAAAAAACGGTATTTTAATATCAAACATCACAATTTTTTTTAACATTGATGATCCCTATTTATGATGAACAACTTTTAAACAGTTACTAATACTCACAAATTTGATAATAGTATTGTTTTCACTTGACTGGTGTGTTCTCCTTATTTCTTAATCTGCCTCATTTTTTTTTTTTTTTCCGAAGTAAGCTTCTCATTGTAGAAATTTGGTCAAAGAAATTTGAAATACAGCATTGACAGAAAGGCCCCATAGTATTTACATAATTGGCTTTTCTAGCCCATGTGTGAAGAGGTGAATTCTTGGCACACCAAGTCGCTAGGTGAATGGCTGTGTCTTGGTGTATGCATACGTCTAACACAAACATTTCATCTGTTTTCCATATTTAAGACCAAGGCCCTTCAAACTGGAAATGAAAAGTTTGTTTAGAATGGAAATTAATTGGCATTCTGAGTCAAGAAATCATTACTTCTTTCTGCTGTCTGGATGCTGCTTAAAACCAAACTTAATCAGGAAACACTCCTTTTATATTTGTTTTAGGCCAACATTTTTGGGATACACATTCATCCAAGGGAAAATAACTGTTTTATCTTGTATTATTCTAAAAAACACGTTGCCAACATTTCAGTTTTAAACTTTTTGGAATTTTGATTTCTTATTTTCTTGTTTCTTATTTGTGAATTGTTCTTTTCTCACCTATCCAAACATTTACATCCAATTTCTATTGCACTTTGGAAAGATGAAGTCAACATACTTTTCCCTATTTAGCCCAATAAGTACAACTAAAAACTCTGAAGATCTTTTCTGGTCCCTCACTTTATGTCTCCCATTCTGATACTAGCGAATCGTCCATAGTAGGCGCTGCCAGCTCTAGCTTAGGGCTCTGCTGTTGACATGTATTTTCGGATACTTCATTAGGGTTTAAATCTTTCTATATGGTACCAAAAAAATGCTCTAAAAATGATTTTTCTTCATAATCCTAATTGAATGCAGCATAATATAAACTGAAGGGACCAAATATATTCATTTGTTTTTATTTCTCTCTATTTTGGAGTGTCTTATTTTTTAAAAAACAATTTCATTTATTTTGAGAGAGAGAGAGAGCGAGCACATGCATGTGCATGTGCGAGAGCATGAATGGGGGCACAGAGGGAGAGGGATAGGGAGAATCTCAAGTGGACTCCACACTGAGCACAGAGCCCCATGCAGGCCCGATCTTGGGATTCTGAGCTCACAGCCTGAGCCAAAACCAAGAGTTAGACGCTTAACCGACTGAGCCACTCAGGTGCCCCAGAATGTCGTCATTTATTCACTTTTAAAATGCTGCATCCTAACTGAGGGAAAAAGACCCAAATGGGTAACATGTTAAATTTAACTAGTGATTATGGAAGTAGCCCTCCTTATTTTGCTTATGCAAGACAAAACATAAACATTTGTACCATAAAATTTTCATACCCAGATATCATCTTATTGATTGGGTTTCAAAGGAAAATTTTCTCAATGTGAACATCAAGCAGAGTCTCTCTGTTCTCTCTGCGTAGGCACAGTGAAATAACAGAGAAGTAGAAAACAAAACAAGATAAC